TCAGGTCAGCAGTCAATGTGAGACCGAGTAGCCGCAGAGAGGTGCTTTCGGGAAGTTAAGCGTCAGACATTCTAATGGGGGGAAGGGAAAGATCTCTGTGGTGATTAATAGAGAGCAGTTTTGTTTTGGAGGCGTTAAAGTTCACAACCGATTGGCGGTCCTTTTTGAGCAGCAGTAAATTTGCATCCAGACTCTTACAGTATAAAATAATAAGAAAGGGTTTTTCTAGATAGACAGTGTAGACATAGAAATCAACACAGCATAGTGACTGTCAGTTTCACAACTCAAATGTTCTTCAGACCATGTTTGAAAGGTTGAAGATGACAAAGGTCTGAAGATAATATGAGATTTAAAATTGACAGCATGCAGTGTTGATATCTATACCCACACACTCTCTATATCTGTCTACCTATTATAGACTGCTTTGTCCATTTTGATGTATGAGAGACCAACAGTTCCACTTAGAACTAAACCACCAGACTATCCACATGAATATGATTTGATTGTTGTATCGAACCAACAACCCTTTTCAGAAGAACTAATAACAGAGATATCATGCAGTGTGCCATAAAGACTTCAAACAGTGCTCCTTATGTTTGAATTCAGAGTTTTCCTGCTCTTAGTTTAGCTGCCACCCAAGGTAAAAGAAACTAGTCAACCCTGAAATTTAACTTATTACTGAAGGAGCATAGATACATGCCTTTTCTCAAAGGCATGAGCCCAAAGTGAATAAAAGAGAAATGACAAGAATATGTCAGACATATCACCACATTTTTCAAGATGACTGACCTTACCTCTCTCAGATCATAGCTCTATAAGCGTTCATTTAAACAAGCATGAAAACTTTCCAACTATAGTATGCAACATACCCATAAAAACACAAATGCATACCTCTAACTGTAACAAATATCTGTAAAAATAATAGAAGCCTTCATGATAAAAAAAAAAGCAATCCTTAACAGCACCAATTATGAACACAGCCATAATATAATGTAGTGGTGTATTTGAGAATTAAAAATATGTCTATGTCTCTGCAATTTACACATACACATACACACACACACACACTATATATATATATATATATATATATATATATATATATATATATATATATAAGCATGTAAATGGATATAAATCCGACAGAATGAAGAAATTTTGAAAAAACAAAAAAATCCTTAAATGTAGTTAAATGAAGTAGTTTTTTCATTTAACTACATTTAAGGATTTTTGTTTGTTTTTTCAAAATTTCTTCATATATATATATAGATATAAAGTATAACAGCAAAATTGTCCAAATCATGTTACAGCGTAATTGATCATCTCAAAAAATGTTTAATATCTAAAAAAAACCACTAAACTAATTGAGTTTCTTTTTTCCAGGATTTCAGATAAGACTTTTAGCCATCTTGACACCAATTGTCGTAAGAATCCTTGAAAAACCCTTTGACTTATTCAGTTAGAAAGAGAACAGGTTAAAATCATTTTGTGTCATCCCGACTGTCTTCCCAACTGACAACTGGTGAGAGGAAAAACATCATTCTGGTCCTCATTAATGGTACCAACATTCATATTCTGGCTTCCATCTTAAAAGTCCATTCAAGAATCATCACGAGAACAGTGAATAAGTTTTAAAAAAGAGGGAACAGTAGAGAGGAAAACTGGATCAGGAGGTTACAACAGCAAGAGAGATCATCACTTCAACTTAGAGCAAAAGAGATCAATTAGAAAAGATCCAACTCATTCCATAAGACGTTTGGCACATGAGAGAGTTTCAGTTATGACAGTCCAAAGAGCAGTGAAAAAAAACTTGAAAATGAAATCATATGTGAAACCTGTCAGGTAACTTGTTACTCCAAGAGAGGGAGAAGCTCATCTTGAATAAGTTGGGAAATGATCCTGGAATAATATATATATATATATATATATATATATATATTTGAACTTTATATCAATCCTTCATGAGCTTCTGAGCCTTACCTATGATTAATTATTGATGAACATGTCATCTTCGTTTATGATTGACTTCATCACAATTTTTTTGTTAAGCTTAGAGAGTAATTATGCATTCTTATTGCTCAAAGTAGAGTCCAATTATGTTATAAAAACCTTGGAGAATTCCAGTAAGATATCTTTAATCATTTCTAAGATACAATGGTTCAGAGCTTAATCTAACAATTGGACAATTTTGCTGTGAGACAATTTGAACAATTTTGCTGTTACACCTGATATATGGTTGTTTATTTTGGCAGAAAGCCTTCTCTAATACATGTTTCATAAAAACGATTGACAAGGTACTTCTGTTAAGTTTTTTGTTGTTTTTCTTGTGTTTAAACAAGAGATTTACCTTGGAACTTAGCTGTCTATAGAAATTTTCCATCTTACTATGACTTTTGGCTAATCTATTGTTGTGCTACTGTAAATGGTCTCTAAGTTGCTGAGAGGTAGACGTTATCAAAAAATGCATTACCCCTGTCAAACAAGCTAAAAATATCAAATTATCTATTGTAAAAACTTGAAATAGCTAACCTTATCATTGGCAACAACTCTCCATTGATTTCCAAACAATACAAGATCAACATTACTTATGAATTTAAATGCTCCATGTGAATTATTACATTGGACATAATACCACTTGCTTATAAAGATGGCTGACTCTATATCACTTGGACCATAACTCCATAAGGGCCCATTTAATCCATTATGCAAACTTACCAACTTTGATATGCAAAATACTCATAAGAACACAAATATAAAGCACACCTTATATTGTAAAAAATATCTAAAAATAATAGCCTTTATAACAGAAAGCCAAAAATAGCCTTTAACATCAACTATGAACACTAGCTTAATACATTGTTCACATTTGGAAATTAAAAATATATCTACCTCTTAGCAACTTACATAGCATTTGTAGTGGTACAAGCAAAATCCTTGAAAATGGCTTATGGATCAACCAAAATCACTTGGACAGTTTCTACACACAGTACCAAAAATATTCTATCCAAGTTTCAACAAGAAATTTCTTGTTTGCACACAAGGAAAACAAAATAAAAAAAACTTAACAGAAGTGCCTTGTAAATAATTTTTATGAGACACGTACACATATAAATATATAAACAGTTGATCTCCAATATTGAGCATTCTCCATCTGTAAATATAGCAATTTTTAAATATATGAAGAAATATAGTCTTAAGGTGTGCTATATTTATGGGATAAAGTCCTCAATATTAGAGATAGAGCATGTTTAAATATAAAAGTGAACATTGAAGTCAACACTTAGAGACAACAGGTTGCTTCATGCTAGATGTAATCATCAGACCATGTATGTATGTATGTATGTATATAAGTAACCTTTCCTTTTATACAGGTTTCTTAATTTTTAGACACCATCAACAATTACATTGACAAAAATTATTAAAGTCTACTAAATTAAACACTTAAAACCAATTTACACTATTTACATTGTTTAAACTGTTGTCCTCATCTTTGTGCACTTAAGATATTAAAAGTGGGAGGATGATAAATACATCAATAAGAATTTTAGAATGTTTTTTTATTAATCCAAAGGATTTTTATCACTTTAAATATTATTTTTAGTTGATACTTGTATTTGAATTGGGCACTCTGTTTATTTATTAAACAGTATATTTTTTATTTTTGTCTACTAGCCTGAATGTTTGAGAAATTAAAGTAGAATTTTCTCTCTCTAGTAGGAATTGAACCTGTATCCCTCAAGGCAATGGGAGCTACCCACTGCCCAGCATGCCTTAACCAACTTAGCCAAAGGAGAAAATTTTGTGCTTTCAAGAAAAATTTCTCCTGTGATAGATTTCTGAAAGTTTTTCATATCTTCACAGATTCGTATCCAAACATAAACAAAGAGAATTTTTAGAATGGATCTTTATTAAATAATATATATATACATATATATATATATATATATATATATATATATTCAGATAAAAAAGAAAGAACAGTAAGATATGTAATCCAGTGTTCTTATTGATATATATATATATATATATATATATATATATATATATTTAAATAATTGCTGTAGCCATTACCATAGTAATTTTAATTTTAATAATGAATATGCTTCTAAAAACGCATAAATTTCAAGAATTAGTTATTCCAAAAAAAATTTCACTTGAAGATGGAACAGAGCTTGGTACTTTAATTCAGTTTAATTCAAATAATTATACTGAAGTTTTCAGCTCTTGTTTTGAAACATGAGAACTCTTATGTAGTGATGGAATCATATTTTTAAATAAATAATTATATATATATATATATATATATATACAGAGAGAGAGAGGGGGGGTGAAATTGCTGGAGTACATCAGTAGTAGAATGGTTTTTCTTGTGTATGTGTGGCTGCTGACAAAAGAGTGATATATTAAAGACAACTATTTCACAATTTTTCTGAAGAAAATATGATTTTTTTCTCTTTTCAGATGAAAACTGATGAAACTGTATGGACACAGAAAGCAGTTATCCCACTTCTGATAGAACAAATTTGTGATGGCAATATGATGACAGCTGAATGACATCAGCTGGTAGGGGGTGGCGGGTGAAGAACCCAGTTGCTGAGTAAACCATGAAGAACCAAGACATGATTGCCTATGCCAATTAAGGGAATGGGGTAATGATATGGTCCCAATGAAAAACCCAGACATCACCCTTCAGAAAATATTACAAGTAAGACCATCTTGATTTTTAACCATTCACATTGTTTGTTTTATCCATATGTGTTATAGTTTCTGTGTAGGACAAATAATAATAGGAATATACATATTTGTATATAATTTCAGTTATGCCATATCAGTATATAAAAACTTTTCAGCTCAATGCATATTTGTCATTCCTTTGTTTCAGCTATTCTAGTACTCCCTTTAACTGTGTTAAGATGTTAGTATATCATAAATATACTAATGCCAATAATGGGCAACTGAAAACATTCTCTCTTTCCAAGTACCCCCATTAAAGAAATCAATCAAAACATTGTATTAACATCAAGAACATGAAAGATAAGCTCAACCAGAATGTAGATAGATAGATAGATAGATAGATAGATAGATAGATAGATAGATAATAAAATAATTAAAGACAAACGATAGATACATAGATAAATAAATAATGAACTGTTATAACTCACTTCAAGCGTTTATAATATTGTCTTGCTTTGGCTACTCACTGTGATGTCTGTTAGAAATTCTCCTGACTGAATCCAGCAGACTGGTATTTAGCCACTGAGATGAGATGTGACACAAGGTCAAGTTTAGTGTGGGAAACTAAAGCTCATATACACTGGCCAAAGTTCAAAATTTACCCAGTCCCTGCAACCATGGAATTGGGTACTTTGCATTGTCTATTCATTTCATCCGAGTCTCCATCCGTAAACAAAGCCCCAACTGAGTTGCACTTTGCGTGAAGACAGGGAGCTTGACAATCAGCAGCCAAACAGTGGACTGCTTGACTACAATGGACTGGTATTTCCCAGTCACCTCACTATGGACTAGATGTGGCACAAGGTCAAGTTTACTGTGGGGAACACAAGGGTTTCCACTTAGGCCACTGGTCAAAATTTACCCAGTCCCCACAAAAGTGGACTCAGGTACAGAACTGGTCTGTTTTCTCAGCCAAGTCTCTATCTAAAGACAGAGCTTGACTGAATCATCCTCCACCCAAAGATGGTGGTTTTGTTACCCTCTGCCTGAAGACAGAAGTTTTGTCTTGATGCAAGCCTGGGACAGACTACATTGACTCACTTAGGGTTCTTTATTTAAGACATTTTGCCTAGTTCATTTATGTTACCAGGAGTGTTTTATTTACTCCCCAACATGCCCACTTTTGAGATATTTTTTTCACTAGTAAATATTTTATTTCTTAGTATTCACCACCTCCTCCCTCTTCCTGGCAAGTTCACCAATGTACTGAACTTTGCATTTCTTTTGTTTTGAGTCAATCTCTAGTTTTTTCATACATTTCCTTTTTCTGGTAATCATACTTGTATGTTCAATGAATTCTTGGGGTGTTGGTACATCAAAAATATCATAAAGTATTTCCATAGGCTCTTTCTTTCTTGTGGGCCTTTCTTCAGCAAAACATTTCTTTAACTGATTACAATGCCTTTTGTGTTCCCATTTTTTTCCTTTCGCCATATATATAATTTTTGCAATTCATGACCTAATTACACCATCTCCCCACATTGATTTTCCATTTTTATATACTCTGAAAAACACTTTTTTGTGAATTTTGAAGAATTTTATCCTTTTTGTTATTTGTTCTTATCCTTTTTTGACCTGGTAACAACTTGCTGAGCACTGATTTAATTTTTCTTTTGAACAGCAGTTCTGCCAGCGACATGTCTGTCAGTGTATTGGGATGTGGCATTATCTCAAGAATTTTTGTAGTGCTTCTTCACTCACTTTTTCATTTCTTGCTTTTTTCAAAGCTCTCTTAAAAGTACCCACAAACTATTTCACTTATCTGTTTCCCCTTGGGTGATACAACTGGGTAGTAATATGTTCATTTGAGAACATTTTACAAAAAAATCTTTAAAATTATAAGCAGGGAATTGTGTACCGTTATCTGAGACTATGGTATCCAAAATGCCATACTTGCAAACAGTTCTTGTTAGAAATTCACTGTAACTGTAGAAGTTGTTTCTTTGCACTTACAAATTTCAGTCTTGACCACAGAGTATCTGTCTTTGGCCAAGTTTGTAATTTCATGGTAGGTGACTTTGCTGCCAGAGCACAACCTCTGCAGGCTTTTACTACTTTTTCAATGTCTTGATCCATTTTAGTCTAATATGCATAGCTTCTCATAACAGATTTCATCCTTGAAATTCCCAGATTTCCACTATGAAATTCATTTAATATCCACTTTTGTAATATGTAAGGTATTACTAGTCTTTGTGCAAACATCAGTACTTCGTCACATAGAGAGTAAGTGTTCAAGTTTGGATTGTATTCTAATAATTGTCTATCTTTCATACTTTCTTTTAGTCATTTTTTATTTTAGAAATAAACATGTTTTATTCTGCTTTTACTTTTATTTCTTTCAAGGTAAATCGGTAGTTTGTGTACTACATTGCATAATATATTTTTAATTTCTATTTCACTTTTTAATGCTGCAATAAAGTCCTCAAATGGATCAGTATTTTTTGGTATTAATCTTGATAAACCATCATCATTTTTTGAATGGTTGGTATTCCATCCTGAATTTAATAAAATGGTACCCCAGCATTATAATCTATTCTCTGTATATGCAGGAATTTCTTTTTTCAAACCATAAATTGATAATAGAGGTCAATGGTCTGTCTGCAAATGAAAAATCCTTCCATGTATGAATTTGTGAAATTTTTCGGCGTAAATATTATTGCTATTATTGTCGATGTGGCTGAAGTTTTTTCTACCAGTAGTAGCAAATGTGAAGCATGTGCGATGGCTTTGATGTTGCAGTCATCATATTTATGTAGAATTACTGCTCCTATACCATAGTCACTAACACCTGAAGCCAATACAATTTCTGCTTTTGGATTGTAACAAATGCCTTCTGACACTTATCAGTCCAGCTCTACTTTATGCCTTTTTAAAGCAAATTGTTCAGTGATAATAGTTTGCTAGTCCCAGAAATGCTTGTAATCTTGTAACATTTGTTGGAGGAGTCATATTCTTAATTACATTTGTGTTCAACATATCTGGTTGATGACCATTTTTGTCAATGATTTGTCCTAGGTACTTGATTCTAGGCAAAAATAATTTGCACTTTTCCTCACTGAGTCTGAATCTATATTCTTGTATTTTTTTTAAAACTCTTTTCACATGCCTGATATTTACATTTCCTTAGATACACCTTTAATTAATATATCATCCAGATAAGCAACTGCAAAATCACAATCTGCAAGGATAGTATCCATAGCTTGTTGAAATATAGCTGGAGCCACTTTTATTCCCAAAAGGAAGTCAGTTGAACTTATAAAATCCCTTGTTTGTATTCGTAGTTGTTAACTCTAAACATTCTTTTTCAACCTGTATTTGAAAATACGCTTCAGAAAGATTCAGCTTTGAAAAAATTTTACCACCATTTAAATTCACAAAAATTTCCTCTGAACTTGATAATGTGTAGTTATAGGGTTGTAAACATTTGTTTAAGCCTTTCAAAAAAAAAAGTGAAAACACATTTTATTATTTTTTTTCCTTACATATACTGCTGGTGCTGTCCATTTTGAATGGTCAGTCTTTTCAATTACACCTATTTTTTCAAGTCTGTCTAATTCTTCATTCACTTGATCCAATGCTGCGAATAGTACTCTACATTTCAGTTTAAACACTGGCACTGGTGTTAACCCTTTTTTCATTTGAAATTTTGCTTTGTCTTTAGAACACCAACCCCACTCAACTGACAGAACAACTGAAAAACATTTTTTCAATTCTTCCTTTAAATTTTCACACTGTTTTTTTTTTAAATTGGTAGCTTGTCCACTTATATTTTTGCAATAAATATTTATAGGTAAATCTCACATTTCAAATAATTCCATCTAGTCAGTACCGAATATGTTTGTAGTATTGTTTAACACATAAGCTCCAGCTTTTACACATGGAATGTGATGTTACAAGTCATTTTATTAATAAAAAATATTTTCTCACCTGACACACCACATGCAATTTTTGAAGTTCCTTTTTAACATAGGTTTTTTGTTTGCTTTCCATGTGGCTTTTGTTGATTATTGTCATATTACTACAAGTGTCTTTTTGCATTTTTACATCCATATTATTAATTTTTTTCAAATACACAAATTTACTTTGGTTTTCTGTAATTATTTTTCTGTCGCTACCTCGTGTACAAAATTTTTACTGTGAGAATTTTTCCTTGCTTTAGTTTTACAGTGTGACTTTTTATGTCCTACTTTTCCACACTTGTAGCATTTTGAATTCTTAAATGGACAGTTGACATTGAGATGTAACCTTCCACATCTGAAACATGGATTAATTTTTCTTTTTCTACATTTTCTTTAGCTTGTATGCAAACACATTCTTTTTCTTCAGTTTCTTCTGTATTGGGTCTCAGATTTAGGATTTGATGGATATTTCTTCTAGTGTTAGTTTTTGATTCTGTTCAAGTTTTGTTCAAATTCTCACATGTGTTTCTGCATCTTTTTTCGCTGTTAACCCTTGAATGAAAATTAACCCTTTAAACATATCCAGAGTCAGTTCATTTAATTGGAATCTTTCACACTCCTTGTTAACAATTCTAGCATATGTGACAAAATCTTCATCTTTATTCATCAGATTCATACATTTCCAATGAGTATTGAATAACAAGCTTTTTTCACTAAAAATTTTAGTCAAAATATTTATTGTTTCTTCAAAACAAATTTTTCCTGTTTTTTGATAGTACAAAATTAAAATATTTTTCATGTTCTACTAGTGCTAACTTTCTCAACAAAAACCTTGCTTTTTTCTCGTCTTCCCAGTCATTGCATTCTTCTCTGGATACTTGCTCGTATCTTCTAAAATAAGCAGAAAAGGTAAGTTCATCATCTGAATTTTATATGAATTCAACTATGGCATTTGCCACCATGTTGAGAGTGAAAGAAATTGAGGAATTTTCCATTTTCTTATGTATTATTTAAATTAAATTATGTTGTTATTTCTGGAGTTCCAACAACTGCTGCTGTTGTTGTATTTTTACCACTTGGCCTAATAAATAATTTTTCCATATTTGACGAACTTTTTCTCTTCCTCTTTTTTTTTCTTTTTTACACACACCAAAGAGAAAAAATTAAACTAACATGAAAGTATTTTTCGTACTCCATATGAGTTTTGATGACTCATTACTGCAGTTATAAGTCACTCCTAATGATTATAATATTATGTCTTGCTTTGGCTACTTACCATGACATCTGTTAGAAATTCTCCTGATTGATTCCAACTGACACACTTTGAGGTCTTTATTTAAGTTAACTTGCTTCATTCATTTGTGTCACCAGGGATGTGCAACATGAACGGACATAGATAGATAGATAAAATGAGATAGATAGACAGACAGATAGATAATAGAATGAGATAGATAGATAGGTAGATAATGAACAGACATAGATAGATAGATCGAATAAGATAGATCAATAGACAGATAGATAATAGAACAAGATAGATAGATAGATAGATAGATAATAGAACGGGATAGATAGATAGATAGATAGATAGATAGATAATATAACGAGATAGATAGATAGATAGATAATAGAACGGGATAGATAGATAGATAGATAGATAATATAACGAGATAGATAGATAGCAGAACAAGATAGATAGATAGATAGATAGATAGATAGATAGATAGATAGATAATATAACGAGATAGATAGATAGCAGAACAAGATAGATAGATAGATAGATAGATAGATAGATAGATAGATAGATGTGAACATAATTTGTCAGAGGGAGATAGCAAGCTATAAAGACAGTAATAAATAGACTACAATAGACGGATAGATAAAATATTAAGTTCAGTGTATTGAGAAGATTTGATATTGTATTGAAAAATAAAGGCTTTTTATAATTATGCTTAGTGATGTAAAATTGTATACTGTTCACAAATTTTGTACAAATTGGTCAAATTTTGCACTTAAAAAATTAAAAAAACACCTGGGTATAATACCAACAATAACAAAAATAGGGCAATAATCACTTTATTTTTATAAATTATACACAGATATACATATATTTTTACATTTACATGCACATATACATTTGCATATACATTTGGTAACAAAAGTCAAAATTTCTTGAGAAAAACTACTCCAGTTTGTAAATTTTTGCACCAAACAACAACAATTACTTCTAAAACTTCCTAACAATGTCAAAAACAGTCTGGGCTCATCATTAAATTTATTTAGAGAAATTACTCTTACTCAAAAATGGGTTTTGAATAATAATGAGGTGATTCTGAAAGAATTAGAAGTTCTACCAGGATTTATTATCAGTAGTCACAGTCTTAACATAAGATATGCAGACAACACAATGTTGATAGCAGATATAGAAAGGCAACTACAAAAACTCCTACAGAAGATAGTAAAGCAAAGTGAAAAGACAATTAAACTTAAATTCCAAAATAGAATGCATGGTTATTAACCAAAGGAACTTTCTAACATGCAAATAATAAATTAGAGATACCAAAATTAAACAAGAATAATTTAAAATATCTGGGAAATGTTTTAACAGAAGACAGAAAGTGCAACACTGAAATTTGAAGGGGCATTGGGATAATCAAAGATGCCTTCCAAAACATAAGCAAAGTATTACGAAATAGAAAAATTTTCTTAGAAACAAAGAAAAGTGTACTGAATTGCTATATAATATCAGTCCTCCTATATGCCAATGAATGTATGACAATCGACTCACAGATGAAGAAGAGACTTGAAGTGATAGAAATGTAGTTCTACAGAAGGATGCTGAGGATACCATGAACTGAACATGTGAACAATAACAAAGTTTTAGAGAAAATGGAGACAAAAAGGACATTTATAATTAACATCAGGGAGTGAGAGTTGAAATTTCTGGGGCACATATTAAGGAAAGTAGGCTTAGAAAATTTGATACTCACAGTACAGATTGAAAGCAAGAGAGACAGAAGAAAACAAAACATAACCTACCTAGCAAGCTTGATTAAATGAATGGTGGAACAGTATTTAGGAGAGATAACAAAAACACAAAATTTATTTAAGAGCTACAAAGGACATGAAATTGTGGAGAGCCATGATTGCCAACCTCTGAAAGGGACATAGGACATAGAAGAAGAAAATACTTTGAGTTCAAAAAGTAAAGTCTTTAAAGTCTAAATATTTAAGTCTTTAACTATTAGGATGCAAAACTGTTCAAGCCATTTTATATTTTACATTTTGACAACATATCTATTTATAACAATTGCTACATTCTTTCAATTTTTCTTTTACTTTTATATAGTTAATATAATCAGCAAAATTGTAATTATATGCCATCCCTTTCTGTTTGGATCCTGATACCCATTTAAGCCATTGTATTCTCCGGTCTTCATAAGGTGTCTGTTGTATAGTTAGTATAATCAGCACATGCCATTTGTGATAAAATGTAAAAAGAACTGCCTCTTCCAGTTCAAGATAGTATTAATTAATAAAAGCACTAAGAAAGAAATTGGCATAAAAAAGAAATTTTAGATTTACTTTCAATCATGATAAAAACATTTGTTTGAAATGGGAGTGATGGCATCCACAACAATCTCTGCCAAAGTCTTTTGGCAGGAACAAAACAAAACTTGTTTAAGACGTCATTGTCAATCCAACTCTGGAAGAACTGAAGCTGAGGCTGGTGGTAAAATATACTCTCTGCTTGAATGCATTCATGCAATTGCACAAAGTTAGCTTGAAAGAGAAAGTGGCTAAAAAAAAAGGGGGATAGCTTGTGAACAAAATGAGAATAATAGGCAATGATGTCGATCACTATTTCTTTTAGGAAAATCTCTTGAAATCAACTGAGAAATTTCACTTGGCCAAATCAGGGCCTAGATTTGCATACCATCATCAAGGAGTTTATACATGTGTATAAACAAAATCATTTTTGCACTAAAATGTTTTTTCTTTGTTTTTGCTTTTCTCTTTTGTTAGGAAGTTTTAAATAGAGAATTTGTTGCTTGATGCAAAACTTTATTATTTTCACAATAAAATTGATAATTTAGGTAATTTTTTTTAGATTTATTTACATTAAATATTAATATAATCATAAACTAGATATAAAGTGGGAGATCTATTTGCTATTATTTTTAAATAAATTGATCCAGCTTTAATTTCTATATTATGTCAGATTTTAATTTGTAAGTCAATATTTTCACAATAAAATTGGCATTTTCAAGATATATTTACATTAAATATTAATATAAGTTTCCACTGGACATAAAGTGAGGGATCGATTTTCTATTGTTTTTTAAGTAATAAATTGATCCGCCTTTAATTACATTGTCAGATTTTATTATGTCAGTCAATATTTTCACAATAAAATTGGTATTAACCAGCCAATGTAGGCAAAATTCCCAGATATATTTATATTAAATATTAATGTTCCCACTAGACATAAAGTGAGGGATCGGTTTTCTATTGTTTTTAAGTAATAAATTGATCCCCCTTAATTACTACATTATTAGATTTTATTATATAAATCAGTATTTTTCCAATAAAATGTGTATTAACCAGCTGATGTAGGTAAAATTTTCAAGATATATTTTCATTAAATATTAATAAAAGTTTCCTCTGGACATGAAGTGGGGGATCAGTTTTTTTATTATTTTTAAGTAATAAATCAATTCCTCTTAAATCCTACATTCTGTCAGATCTCAGTATGCAAGTCACTATACAATTGGTATTGATCAAATAGTTGATTAAATGCTGAGCAATAAGTAAAAATTCTTGGCTTGAAAAAGAATGTAGCTTAATAAATAAACTGAAAAATAAATGGTAATTGTAATATTAGTCATTTTGAAACCATTGCTGGCTACCACTTCTATCTCCCACGAGTTCCAAACAGCCACTGACTCTCACATCTCACGGTTTGTTAGCTAGATACCAACTGACTATCATCAGCAACAGGCAGTCAGAGGACTCTCAAGGTCCCTTAAGATGTATGTAAATTTGTCCTGCAAAAAGGTAGATAATCGCTTTCCTCAATGTACATGTAGAAATTAACGTTGAATATACCACCAGTTTTCTGGAGGAAAATCTCTTGAAATCAGTTGAGATTTTATTTGAATATTGGAAGAACAAACAGAAACATGTTGAAATAAGGCTGTCAAAAAGACAAAGGTTTTGTAATTGCTCATAAATGGGCAGTTTTCTTTATCAAATCTTAAGAAAGAGAATTGTTCATTAAGTAAAAATGATAAGCCATAAAACAGAATTATTAATAAAAATAAAGGTAAAATGGTATAAAAGTACACTTTATCTATCATCTAACAAAAATAAACAGTAGGCCAAATTATGCCAGGTATCTTCAAAAAGTAAAAAAAGTTCTACTTGTCAAGAGATGAGTAACATTTAGTCATAAAAAGAAATTAAAAAATTCTTAAGTGAAAAGATGGATGTGCCACCCAGAGAATATTGAATCTGTCATATGAGAAAGTGCTGGCATGGACAGGATTATCAATAAGGTGTTGGCCAATCACTGAATTTCAGATACTCTATAAATGCATCAATGATGCTTGACATAATTGATCATTCCTAATCCAAAGCGAGACACATTACTTAATACTGCATTTCACCTGGCCAAGTCAGTATCTAAATTTGTACTCCATCATTCAGGAGTTTAGTCATACATAGACACAAATCATCACATTACAAACAACCAAAATACAAATATATACCGAGTGTAACAGCAAAATTGTCAAAATCAGGTTACAGGATAATTGGACATCCCACAAAATGTTTAATATCTAAAAAAATACTAAACTAATTGAGTTTCTTTTTTCCAGGTTTTCAGATAAGACATTTAGCCATCTTGACATTATTTGTCATAAGAATCACTGAAAAACCCTTTGAGATTCTATCTGTATCTCTGAGATGAGGTATTATGATTACTTACATTATTCAAGCTGTTATCCTCATCTTTATTGCCATATTCACAACATTTGGGCCTTTGTACACTTCAGGTGATTGGAATTTTGAATCGAACCCTTTATTGTGTCCACTAGACTAGATTGTTCTTGTTCCACATGCCATACCTCTTTCTCAACTCAACTCTCCAAGTTTTTGGTTCACCACTGCTGTAGCTTGGTATTGAACTCACAACTTTTTGGGTCTAGTCACTGGATCTAACCAACACCTTTATCCACTGGGCCACGAGTCTTTGAGGACATGGCATGTGAAACTAGAACAATCAACCCCAATGTAAGTAAACACTTTGGCTATAGCTAGCAAGAGAACAGGTTAAAATTGCTTTGTGTCAGACCCACTGTCTTCTCAATGTTGAAAGGAAAAAGATCATTAAGACCTTCAGTAATGGTACCAACATTCATATTCTAGCTTCCATTTTCAAAGTACATTCAAGAACCATCAATGAAATGATGAATAAATTTAAAAAAGCAGGAACAGTAGAGAGGAAAACTGAATCAGGAGGTCACAACAGGAAAAGGGATCATCATTTCAACTTTTTCGTTTATGATCAATTTCATCATGATTCTTCTGTTAAGCTTGTAGATTAATTATATATTCATATTGCTCAAAGTGGAGTTGAATAGTGTTATAAAAACCTCAAAGAATTCCAGTAAGATATCTTTAATCATTTCTAAGATACAATGGTTCAAAGCTTAATCTAACAAATGGACAATTTTGCTTTTATATATTTGGATAGTTTTGCTGTTACACCCGGTGTTATAACACTAAAATACTATACTATACTAAAAAACAACTCACATTAAATATATTTCCCCTCA